CAAAAGGACCAATCAAATTGACGTCTTTTTTCTCCGAGACTCTCTCTTATACAAGGATCTCTTCAAAGCCACAACTCACGCCCCATAAATCAAAATCTCAAATTCAAGAGCCCTCAAGAATTCTCTTGAAGATTTGAAGACGTTCTTGAAGATCCAAGGGTATTCAAGTTGAAGATCATCGTTCAACCCACAACCAAGCATTCGAACTGTCGAAGTACGTTGAATGAAGAATGAGGCAAAGAAAACAGAAAAGAGGCGACAACTCTTCTCCAATAAGTAAAGAGACACATTCACTCGTTCAAATCAATCTAAGAACATCAATGACGTTCTAGAACATTCAAGTGCATTCGTTGAGAAGTTCAATCAATATAACGTTTTGATTCGGGAAAAAACTATCAAGTCCTACAGTCAATGTTATTAAGTTAAAATCCCCCTTTCAAGTAGATTAAATAAACAAGTCGTCTTAGAAGTCGTCCACAATCAAATCAAGTCCTAACATGTAATACAAGAATAAGTCATTTGACTCACAAATTAATGTAAGAAAAATTCAAGATCAAGCCCGAAGGAGATCTACTTGTCAAATTCAAATTTTAAGATCAAATCAAAGTCCACGAAGAGAAGAATCAGAATGTTCATATAGAGATGTTACCTACAATATCGTTTGATCGATATAAAATTAAGTTGTACAAAAGTTTTATATTTTCATAAAATTCATTGTTACAAATTTCTGGCACACCCGGTGGGACAATCGCTACCTCTCATCTCTTATCTTCAAATCAAGTTCGAAAATTTTTTAAGCCAGCTCTTACTTGATTTGAACAAGTCTCAAGAGGACATTTGTAGACATAAAACATATATTATTTTATTAATTAATGTCTTTATTTATTTTCGAACATAAATTTAAGATAAATAAGATGTATAATTAATAAAGTAATTATATCTTGGCCACTAAGTCATATCTTAGGATAAGAAACAAAGATTATATCAAACCATTAAACCCAATCAAATTGATGTCTTCTTCTCCAAGACTTTTTCTCGTACATCTATAAACCTCAAAGCCACAAATAACACCTCATAAATCAAAATCTCAATTTCAAGAGTTCTTAAAAACTCTCTTGAAAATTTGAAGATGTTATTGAAGATCCAAGGACATTTAAGTTGAATATCGACTTTCAATCTGGAATTAATCCTCCTAATCTCCGAAGTACGCTGGATGGAAAGAAAACCAAGAAAAAGAAAAAGAGGTGACGATTCTTCTCCAAAAAATAAAGAGGCGACATCCACTTGTCTCAAATCAATCCAAGAACATCAATGGCGTCTAATGACATTCAACCCACGTTCGTTTAGAAGCTCAAGCAATATTGCATTTGATTTGACAAAAAGTTTTTAAGCCCTCGAGTCAACATTATTCAAGTCCAAATCCATTTCTAAATATACAAGTCCACGCGACAAGAGGAAACAAATGAGATATGTAGAGATTGTACTCACTATCGTTTGGTCGAAATAAAATCAAGTTGTATAATTGTTTTATGTTCATTCATAAAATTCATTGTTACAAACACATCTATAAATGATAAGTATGATTTAATTTTCAGTCAATAATATTTTTCCTTTAATCTTGTAACCCACTTATTTCAGTAAAATCTCAGTGATTTTTTTGTGGAAAAAAAATGCTCATCGACAAATTGTCCTTGGCACACGGCCAATGATGGAGTGCCATACGGCCACGAGTGAGAATAATAAGAAGATAAAATTGGAATTTTATTTTTTTCTTCCCCAAAATTCTCACCTTTTTTTCATCTTCTCTCTCACTTGATCATCTTCCTCACGGAATTGAATCAAAATTCCATATTTCTTAGATGATTTCACCCTTTTTTTTTCCTTTATTCATGTTAAAATGGAATATATTCAATTGTGAAATGATCAAACACACCATCTCATATAAGACATACAAGATTAAGATTGTTACGTGACAACATAACATGTGTTGAGAGCCAACCGTAAAAGCCGGTTGAGGACAAAACTTGGTTCTAAGAGTGAAGATACTGTGTTTATTTATCGTTGAACCACACATACTCATACACACCCACATGTCTATGTGTGTTGATCCAACAATAAAAAGGTTCGGCGAGCAAGGCAGAGATCAAATTTGCAGCCAATGATGATTTACCGATCATATTCTCTATCATATTCTCTTTCAACGAGAATTTTGCTAATCGGCAAATTGTCCATGGCAACACGTGAGTTTCGAGAGATCAAACAATCAATCAATCAGACAAGCCTTTGAATGGGAGATTGAGATTCATCACAAAAACATCTTACAAACACACAAAGATGTTGAATGAATTTCGGGTTTCGATTTGTAACCTTAACTGAAGCTAGCTAGATTAAATACGGGAGGAAAGCACATCATAATAACGCAACACAAGTATTGTCGTTTAGACATGGAACTACTGAAAGCACAACATACAACCTAATCAACTAAAAGAACAATGATTTGTTTATATTATGATGCATCTCAGAAGTTAACTGAAATCTAGAATCCTCATATGCTAACATAGTTGATTATGATGGAAATCAGTCCAAAAATAGCACAACACATAAGTAGCAAGTGGGCCAAAGCCATCCAACTATCTGCCAATGGCATTGCACCATACACATACTAATGATTGAACATAAAATTCTGCCTACTTTTGTATGTTATGCAATTAGAAGGAAAAAAAAGAAAAAGAAGTATTTTTTTACCATTATCCCGAATAACGGGAATATATGCAATTCCAATGCAACCCATACGGTGAACTTATATAAATAGGTGTGATCATGCAGCAAGGAAACACAACTCGACATGGCATGTATTTTCCTATCAAGAGACTTACATGAATATGTAGAGAGTGGATCTCAGCCAAGGATGATTTGCCGGTAATCTCTTTTGAAGCCCACAGCTTTCGAGAAAAGAAGGGCTCATCGATCGGCAAATTGTCTTTGGCTACGTTCGGCTCTTTTTGTGTTCATGCAAGTCTCACGAGGTTCTGTTCAAGCAAGTCACGAGGTCATGTCAGAGCGACTTCCATGGATATGCAGAGAGTCGACTGCAGCCAAGGATGATTTGCCGGTAGCCTATTTCAAAGCCATTGAATATATTTAAAGAAAAAAAGAGAAAGAGCATGGCTAGTCGGCAAATTGTCCTTGGCTACGGTTTGGCTCTCTAGTGTTCATGCGAGTCTCAAGATGTCCAATCCAAGCAATTTCTAAGGATGTGTTGAGAGTCCACTGTAGTGTAGCTAAGAATGATTTGCCGGGAACCAGTATTCAAGACAATACTCAAAAAAAAAAAAAGAAAAAAAAAAAGAAAGAAGAAGAAAGGCTAATCGGCAAACTGTCTTTCGCTACATTCGGCTCTCTAGTGTCCATGCCAGTCTCAAGAAGTCAAACACATTTTTCAGCATTCTAGAATATCATCACTATGTTCACTAACAATGAAAGTTAGATGCTGAGTATACCAGCAAGGAAAAAAGCATTGCATGCACAGCCGTCCAAGGGACTTCCATGAATAGGTAGGGAGTCGGTTGCAGCCAAGGATGATTTGCCGGCAATCTCTTGCAATAAGAATGGCACCTCGGCAAATTGTCCGTGGCAACATTCAGCTCTCTACTGTCCATGGCACCTCGGCAACTCCAGCCCTGCTCGACTTCAGCTTTTAGTTTATTATATGCAGTAAATAACCAGGTTGAGCGTAAGTGATAAAAACAAAAACAAATATGGCAGTAATGGACAAACATAGGATATGGAAATGCATATATCTCAGACAACTCGAACTTAGAAAAATCATGCCCATAAACTTATCTGATTTGCTTTACTATCAGCATCATGAACCTCCAGCAGATTTCCCTCACCCTTCCAGGTCCAAGAAATGGGAATCTACGCAAATTCAAGCACTCACAATCACGTCACGTCCTTTCCCCAGCGGATCAAACCTATCCACACAAAATAGGAGTATAATGCAAAATTGAGAATGATTCTATTCATGATCTACAATTGAACATCATCAATTGATTTTATGTTTGACACAACGACCATAATACGCCCACTCCTGCATAAATACTCCATTCAAAACGTACAAAACAATCAGGCAAAAAACCTCAACATATATACCACCAACAAACAATATGAAAAAAACCATTGAAAAAACAATTGATCTTATAAGCATAGTTTAACATCATAAACAATGGGTATAGTCCATGAATGCTCAAAAACAACATAATCCAACGAGCTACGTAACAAGAACTAAATTGTAAATACCAGGCAAGTTAATGCCCCATCCGGAGAAAGATTTTCCATTTCTTTTTCCTTTTTCCCGAAAAAATAATTAACAAAAAAAGGTTAAAAAAACCCATTAAACATTCACTCCTTAGTAATGTATCCTTCTTTCCGGCCCTCAAACCCGGGCCTCATCAGCTTCTTCTCACGCTTGGCAATCCTCCTCATCTTCTTCTCGTTAATCCGTCCCTGAATATTCTCCTTCCTCTTCCTCTGCTTCTCATCCTTCATCTTAACCTGGGTCTCGACTCTCTCCTTCCATTTCTCGGCATTCTTCTCTCTCTTCCTCTTCTCCCTCTTCATGCTCTCCTTAATCATACGAGCATCATCGTGAACCTTCACGCCCCTGGCCCGACTGGCAGCAGCCTTCCAAGACTCACGCTCGGCCACAATCGGATTCTCCCTCTTGACCTCTTGCTTTTTCTTGGCCAATTCAAGTTCCTTAGCCTTGGGAAGCTTCTTCTTCTTTTTCTTCACGTGCTTCCCCTCGCCATCCTCGTAGCCTAAGCTCACTTTTCCGTACTCAATGGTCTCCTCGCCATCATCATCCTCATTCAGTGGAGCTCCCTTATCACAATCTACCCCTTCGTTCTCGTCATCTCTATTCCTCTTCCTTCCTTCATTTTTGATTTTCCTCTCGTGAGTGCTCCCCTCGCCCCTGTTTCCTCTAAGCTGCTCGATTTTTCTCCGCAGTTTTGCTCGGAGTTCCTCGTAAGTAACAGACTTCGCCTTATCCTCGTCCGTGCGGGGTTCGTCGTCGTCCTCAAGATCAGCGAGATTTCCACGACCATCTGAACTTTTGCTGTTTTGCTGCTGCTGAAGGAGGTGGAGGGTGGATGAGGGCTCGACGCCGGGGTCAAAGCGGTGGCGGCGGGCGAGCCTGAGGTTCTGCTTTGACTGCTGTTTCAATGAGGCCTTGGCGGCTTTGGAGAGGCCTTGGTACCATGGCTTTGAATCTTGATCGTCGGTCGGAAGGTAGAATCTAGCCGGAATTAGTTCAACCAAGCGATCGAAGAATTCGCTGTGAAAATGGATGGAGGATTTCAGGTCGCAGTAGGCAGTGGTGGTGGTTGGGGTGGTCTCTGCGGCGGAGGTGGCCGGAGGTGATCGCTTTTGCTTCTTCTTCATACCTTGCTGTGCGTGTGGAAGAGTGAAATTAGGGTTTAGAGAGGGATTTATAAATGATTAAAATAGCTGTCTTTTGCTTATTGTTTCAAATACTACAACATGCTTGTAACTTGTAACGGGGTGTTTGATAAATTTTTTTTCTTACAATTTAAAACTGAAAAAGTACTTGAAAAATTAATTATTTTTTATAAAAAAAAAAATATATTATTATATATTTTAGTGTGATATTTGTTTTTTTTTGCGACTTGCATGTATTATCTATAATAATTTTTCTAATTTGTATCATATAACTAAATTAAACATAAAGTTATACAATGTCCAAACCCAAAATTATCAATTTATAATATTAATATTAATTTTCTAAACTAAAATACGAAGCATGATTATTCGCTAAGTAGGATTTCAAAACACCAGAAGCAACCACATAAGTTCAGTGCATTCGAAAATTATATATAGAGAGATATGTTAATTATTCTTTTCTTTAATCATTTCACTTCACTACAATAAATTAAAATATAAATTAAATATTAGTACTTATTTATTTACATAATTTATTATTTATCTAATGACAAATTTATAATTGTGAACTATTATATCATAAATAATTATTTTTATTTATAACATTATTTTGTATTATATAATTAATTATTCTATTATTATTCTCCATAAATTATTCCAGTCTAATTATCAATTTCTAATTCTTAATTATCCGAAACAGAATATCATCCTTCAACTATTATTATGACTATTATTAGGAGTTTTTTCAATACAAAGCCTGAAAGATGGGTAAACTATCAATTCGGGTCCTGAATTTTTTTTTTCTCAATTCAGAATTAAATGTTATAAAACTATCATATTAAGTTCTACAATTAACAACATCATAAAACCATTAAATTGATAGTTAATTTGAAGTTTTAAAATACCAAATCTTTTTTTTTTAATATTATGCAAATGTTTACTTATTATTATTGTTATTATTATTATAATTATTATTATTATTATTATTATTATTATTAACATTGCCATTAACAATATTTTTTACCTTCATTTCAAGATAATTTAANNNNAAAAAAAAAAAAAAAAATCTTGAAACTTGAAATTCAAATTATTAAAGGGTTTTCCATTGTTTAATCACATAGCATTGTTAATTCATTCAAGGGTAAAAAAGTCCGACAAAGTATAGAAAAGTGGAGAACGAATAACAGACCTATCCTCCACGCCTCCGGCAATCAATCCACGGCCCATCACCGATCGACAGACCCTACCCACTGCCGGCACGGGGAACTTGGTTTCACTGTCAAATCCCCAAAGAGGTAAATTTCTTCTTCCTCGACCTCCTCGACGTCTAACCCTAATCGCCCAAATCACTAAATACGAACGCCTCTATGAAACTTACGTCTTTCTTTAATTTTTCAACTATAATTTGAGAAGCTAAATGGTCTGAGGGCCTCTAAGTAATTGCTGTTCAGTAATGAATTTGGTATTCTCCGGACGAGGATTGATTTTTCTGTGCTAAAAATGTGTTAACTTTCTTTGTTTGAGGTTTCAGTTCGCACCCCCTTTTAGCTGATCTGTGCTGCTATGATGTGTTGTATCTGTAAATTTATATTGTCATTTGATGCACGCTGCGGCCCCACGTTCACCCGATATTCAGGCTAATTTTTACAGAATTTTCGGCTGGTTTCGGTTTACGAGCTTCATGAATGCCTTTTCTACAGGTTCTGATTCTTACAGGACCCAGAAGAAACATTACGAAAGATACTCGCATTACGGATGTCTACAATGCTAAGAACCAGGCTCCGTTCTCTTTCCTTGGCTCGTCAGTGGCAAAATGTTCGTCTTTTCTCCACTAAACACGACGGATCAGGTCATCCCAATCAAATCCCAGAACCCATTTCAAACCGACCCTTGAGAGGGGAAACACATCCTTCTCGAACCCCAAGGTACAACAACCGTGATGCACGAATCAGGAATGAGACTGATGCTGATTTCTTGGAAAGGTTCAAGCTCGGGTTTGATCGCAAATCCGAAAACCCTAAAACCGAGAACGCCGAGAATACAGAACAGCCACTGCCGCCACCGGAGGATGCAGACGAGATTTTCAAGAAAATGAAGGAGACTGGTCTGATACCCAATGCTGTATCCATGCTCGATGGCTTGTGTAAAGACGGGCTCGTGCAAGAGGCTATGAAGTTGTTTGGGTCCATGCGTGAGAAGGGCACAATTCCCGAGGTGGTTGTATACACGGCTGTGGTGGAGGGGTTCTGCAAAGCACAGAAGTTTGAGGATGCAGTCAGAATATTCCGGAAGATGCAGGGTAATGGGGTGGACCCCAACGCGTTTAGTTATCAAGTCTTGATCCGGGGACTGTGTGGAGGGAAGAAGTTGGAGGACGCGCGATCGTTTGTTATTGAGATGTTGGAGGCCGGGCATGCTCCGAATATAGCCACTTTTACGGGCTTGGTGGACGTTTACTGTAGGGAGAAGGGTTTGGAAGATGCTCGGGACGTGATTGGGGCAATCAGGCTCAAAGGGTTCGTGGTCGAGGAAAAAGCGGTAAGGGATTATTTGGATAAGAAAGGGCCTTTCGCACCTTTGGTCTGGGAGGCTATACTAGGCAGGAAGGCTTCAAAGAGAACTCTCTTCTGAAAGGTTTTTTCTATAATTGTCTTTTTTTTCAAGAAATGCAGTTTCTTTGTGTTCTTTGGGGATGAATGATTGAATGAGTTTTCATTTGTCCTTTTTTTTTTGGGAACTCTGTTTCTTAGTTTCTCTCCTTATCGGGTTGGATGTCATGATGTGTATCAAGTTGCCAGTTAGACGTTCTGTTCTATGAATTTGTTTTCACTTTCGCAGTGCCTCGAATCAGATTTTGTAGTTCTTTGAAGTTTTAGTTTGGTGACGGTAATATTCAGATGCTTTCTTATGTAGGTGACATGAAGATGCTTTGCTTAGCCATGTTGAAGAAAAAAAAGCTTTTACAGTTTACATAGATAGCATAACAGCTTGTTTGAGCTTTCGAAACTTGTAGAGAGAAGCTACATGTTTGCTTATGCCTGTGATAGCTTTCATTGTTGATTTGTGGACTTGTTATCCTAAAAAGGGCAGCATCCTAGACTTATAATTAATAAAAAAAAAAATATATGTAACTCATAAAAGGTTTTTGAAGAAATTTAAAGAAAGTAAACTTTAATGGTCTGTTTTGGAATAAATAAAATCATTATACAAATTATTTAAGGAAATAAATTTGAAAAATTGAAAATCAGGTGTGTAGTTTGATGAAAAGAACACCTAATAATTTAAAAGAAATCATGTCCATAATGCTTTCAGCCAAAAAAAAAAAAAAAGTTCAAAGAATTTGCTCGTACGATGAGAATTTATACCATAATGATAAGCTAACCGAATACGGTTTTCATAATAAAATCTTACAGACATATCCCAACATAATATCAACATAGGTTCCTAGAAATACATAATAACTAACTCAGGTCTACTATCCCATGCTTTCAAATACTTGAAAACATATTAGAAATATTAAAACAACTTATTATTATTAACACCACTCTAAATATGTTTGTTCTCTTTCTTCTTCGAGGGAAATATCTCTCTTTGATATCTGAATACATTCCCCCTATAGTCCATACCTTGTAGAAGAACAATATTTGTTGCTTACTGCATTGATCTACTTGGAACTGCATTCTTCAGAGTTGACAAAGGAAGCTTAAACCTCTCGATTCTTCTTTTCCGGATTTCAAGTATCTTCTTCAACATTATTCTCCGCTAAACCATCAAGTTTTGTTTCTACTAAAATTGTGTCAGTAAGGACAACTTTTCCACTAAAATTGTGTTTTTGTAAGAAGTGCTGATGCCGACATGCTTCAACAAATTAAAGCGGTAAAACTAGTAATATACCTGTCTTGTGCTGAATAACTATCTGCAGGAAATGGCGATATATTGTCGCCATCTATCATCCTATGGCTTATGCGAGGTTTCTTTCTGCTGTTACATATAGATTGATTGTAGACAGATTCATGCAGGGTTACCTGTTCAAAAGAATCGTTTTCTTTTCATCGATCTTGATTCATGTCGTAAAATACAATGTCTGGATGGAAAAAACACAAGACTTCTTACCTCAATGTTAACGTCAGCATCACATAAACTTGGATCTGTTGAATTTATCGAGTTAAGGCATTTATTATTACCGCTGTCCGACTTTGTCTCATCGGCCCCCTCTTCCTATATAAGAAGTACACAAAGGATAAATTTAAACAAGATGAAGATGTGAAACAAATGAAGATGAAGTGCCTAATTCATGAATATTTTAAGTTTAGTCATTCACGTTGTGCGTACATGAAAGAAGGTCAAATGATACCTTGTGCAACTGTCTTAGATCTGTAGTCATTGTGCTTTGTCCTGAACTCCTCATTTGGACTTGTGCTTGCTTGAAAAATGGAAAAAAAAAAAAAAAAAAAAAAAA